CAGGGAGTTGGAGCTTTATGAGTTTCCGTTGCACTACTGCCTTTTTTGATTTTTTTTTTTTTCAGGTCGGACCCGCCCAGCTAGCAGCACGCCTAGCCTCTGCCTGCCCGCAGGGGCTTTGCTGAGCTGCTGTGGGCTCCGCCCAGCTGCCCTGAGCTCTTCCCTGTAGTCCTTTTTATATGGGCGTAGTTAGAAGTCTGGGCAATGGTGGCCCCGCCTCTGTTATGGCGGACTCTCTCTGTTGTGGCAGGTTGCCTCGGCAACGGCGGGTTGCCTCGGCAACGGCAGCCTGCCTCCTTAGAGGTGGAGAGTCTCAGTAATGGCGGAAGCCCCTCCCCCACGGAGCCGGACCGTCCAGGTTCAGCTGTGCTTGGTTTGAAGGGCTCAACCCAGAGGGTTTCCAATTACTGTTTTTGTTTTCGTGTTGTTGGGGGTGGAGGGGTGGGACCAACCGAGCCTGATCACCTGGCTCCCTGACTCAGAGTCTTTTCTTTTAAGTTGAAGGACCCCGCGTTCCGGTCGCTTGTTGAAAAGGCGCCGGGATCTCCCGTGCTGCGACTCACGGAGTCGGCTCGAACCGCGGCGCCGGCTCCTGGCGGATTTTTTGCCTAGGAATCTCCTGGCCTGGCTCGCTATTTCAGATGAATGGGCTATTCTGCCGTCTCAAGGCTCTGCTCGCCAGCTAAGAGGGCTCCCAGACCAGTGGCTTTTGTACGGAGAACCGCAGCAACAGGGAGTGGTCACAGCAGCCGCGCGGGCGGAATCAGCCCCGCGGGGGCCAAAACAGCCGCACCGGCTGGGACTTGCGACGCTGGCGACCCCTCTGCCTGGGTATCTCCTGGTCTGTGGGCAATAAGAGTTCGTCTGGAAATGCGGCGTCCACTCACCCTCTGCACTTTCACTGGGAGCTGAAGTCCTGAGCTGTTCTTAGGCGGCCATCTTGAAAGTCGGATCCGTCTTTCTTCGAATTTCTGTTATGTTTTAATCCTATGTCCTCCCCCAAACCTATCTTCTTTCTTTCAAAACCAGCCATCCGGACAATTCCCCAACCATAGTCAGACAGAAGCACCCTATTCTTTCAGTCACTTCATTTCTTTGTAAGTATCCAGTTCTAAAAAGCCAAGAACTTCTCGTCTCCTGCTTCTCTTGTACCCTAACATCCAGTCTCTTCCTGTGGCACATCGGCTTTTCCTTTAGAAACCATCTTCTGCAAAAACACTGAACATCCAACTTCTATTTGTGGTTATCTAAACTTGAAGACTGGCTTTAAAAGGGTGAGGCATTCTTTAACCTGCAAGTGATCACATTCTTCTACACCTGTTTGTGTTCCTTCAGGAGAAAATGACCCAGAAGGCCAGGCTTCACAAAAGTCAAAGGTTCAGATTCATCATGAACCGAACATGGTTTTATATTAAACAATACACCCAGCCAGAAGAATATTCTGATTTGAATCAGAATTTGTCTCTTTAGGTAACATAAAGTAGGTGAGCTAATGAAATGACAGCCTGGCCTGTGTGCCTGGGTTCGACAAGAAAAGGAGCATGACAGACGGAGACGAATTCTGCTCCATGGACATGGTACTCCTCTCAATCCAATTTCCATCTCTCCCCTCATGCTTTCCCTTTTATCCAAAATATCCTTATCTCTTACCTCATAATTACCAAAACTCAATAAATGCCTCTCAAGATTTGGTCTACAAGTTTCTTTCCCTTAATCCATGCTTTAAAATCTGTAGTATGTAATTCACAACTAAATGGAGCTGCCCGTTATAGTTCCATACTTCATCTTTACCCCTAGTACCTCCCTCCTACATCTTATGTTTTCCTTTGCAACTCTTCCTTTGCTAAGCCTAGAAGTTGTTTAATAAATAGATTTGAAGCACGGATAATTAAAAGATATGGATCAGACATTTTTTCAATGATATGCAAATTGTCAAAATAGAACAAAATAGAAATCTATTTCCTCACTGATTGAAAACAATTCATAAAGATGAATGAATTTGGTTTTCTCACAAAGGAGTTTTCAAAAGGAAAGCTTCTTTGAATTTTGAGCTTTGCTATTAGCAGCACTTAGGACACTGGGCACACATAGCCTTCTTTCATTTCACAATTGCGTAATTTGGAAATTATTAAGAACAGCTCTGTCTCAATATTTTTAAATCAAAGGTCAAGTAAAAACATCACCATTCATTTGTCCAGCCAATCCTTCTTGACTCTCTTCACATGAAACATATTTTTTTCTGTATTTACTATTTTTTAATTGTAGTTTAGGTTGTGGGGTACATGTGCAGATCATGCAGGATTGTTGCATAGGTACATACATGGCAAGGTGGTTTGCTGCCTCCATCCTCCCATCATGTATATCTGGTATTTCTCCCCTCATTATCCCTCCTCACCCTCCCCACCCCCCGCTGTCCCTTCCCTAGTCCCCACCACTGACTGCAGTGTGTGAAGCATCTTCAGCTCTTGAGTTTTACCTCCATTAAATTCCTGCCAACACATTCTTTGTTTTTTCATGGAAATCGACAATTATCTTTTTGAACTCTGCTACCAACAATGAAAAACACTAAGACGGAAGACTCATATGACTATCCAAAGAACCTGGAGAGTCTCTAAAAGCTACTTCCCTTCCATGAACAGAAGTATGAAAAGGTGGATTTCAGCAAAGAGGAAATGTTCAGGATCTGAAGGAAAAGGGTCTCATTTCAGGCAGTACTATTTCATCGAGTTTCTGGAGCCACTGATTCAGAGTAGCCAGTTCCTTTCTAATTTATACCATGTGCCTCATTTATGGCTGCCTGTTTAGCTGGACTCTTTCCTGAACAAGACTTCATTTGCCTCCTGGAGGAATTCAAGAAGGAATTAACTAAGGATGCTAAGATAGGAATTTCAAACAAAACAGAATCTAACGCAAACACAGTAGATACATGGCTGATGCTAGCCTATTATGTAAAATGCTTGGGGAAGGACTTAACAGTTGTCCCTTGAACCACATGGGTTTACACTGTGTGGATCCACTAATAATACAATTTTTTTTAACAAAATGCAGATCAAAAATATAGTAATTGCGGGACACAAAACCTGTGTATAAGGAGGGCTGGTTAATTTCTGCAGGGCCTTGAATACGCATGGATTTTGCTATCTGCAGCAGTCCTGGGACCAATCCCTTGTGTATACTGAGGGATGACTGTAATTGCTCTAGAACCTCCACTTAATTTTGCATTCTCTTTCAACTTAAACACACTTCCTCTTAGGTAACAGGAAAATTTTGAAAGAGAAATATATAAGCTAAACTTTGTAGACCTAAAGTGCAAAGTAATGAATACTTATGGGAAGTTAGAGAGGCCTCGAGGGAAATCTAGAAATAGACTATAAATTAGTAGAGACAGCTATTAAATATTTATTTATTTTCCCCTTTGGCTTTGAAAAAGACAAATTTTCCCACTGGTAAGATGGGTCTCATTCCTTATGATGTGAGCTCTTTGCTGTGGCCCCATGTCCCTGGCCAGTGAGTGGCAGGTAACCTGGGGGATGGGGACTATAGATGGGGATGGAGGCAGTAATGATCTTGGCTGTCTTTCCACTTCCTGCAGGCAGCCAGGGGGCTGCAGGTGGGTGCTGTGGGCAGTTGCTGATGGAAGCCCACGCGCCCTTCCAGAGTCATGTCTGTGCTTTCTGAATCCCTACATGGAGACCAATGCCTATGCATTCTCCCTGCCTATTAGTGATGTCCTCTAACTCCTATTTTTTTTTTTTTTTGAGATGGAGTCTTGCTCTGTTGCCCAGGCTGGAGTTCAGTAGTGTGATCTCAGCTCACCTCAACCTCTGCCTTCTGGGTTCAAGTGATTCTCCTGCATCAGCCTCCTGAGTAGCCGGGATTACAGGCACCCACTACGATGCCCAGCTTTTTTTTTTTTTTTTTTTTTTGTATTTTTAGTAGAGATAGGGTTTCACCATGTTGGCCATGGTCTGAAACTCCTGACCTCAGGTGATCTGCCCACCTTGGCCTCCCAAAATGCTGAGATTACAGGCGTGAGCCACCATGCATAGCCCTCTACTCCTACTTGTTAACTCAAATTTAAACTTCCATACTTGATGGCCTTGTCACAAGGAAACACTAACTTTTGGGAAACGTTAAAAAAATTCTCCCCTCCTAACCAAAAAAGAAAAGTTAGGCATCCTATACTTAGCAGCATTTGGAAATGAGGTCTCAAATAAAACTTTCTAGATGTGACTTTTTTCTCTTAAGGTATTTTTGAGTCACACTGGGGGTGAGGACTCCTTGGAAGTGTGCGATATGAACTCCTGCCTGCCTTGTGAGAGTGCACTGAATAAACGCCGAGCATCTAAGTGATCCACATTTGTCTCTGGAGCAACGTCTTCTTCCCTTTGGACACAATGCCATGAGGTTCTTAGGGGCTTAGGGACATGGATCAGACAGTTGAGTCTCCTATTCACTGTTCCTAGTATGCAAACGTTCTTGATTTCCTGAATTGCATGCTCTGTTCATCACTTTCCACACACACACACACATATATATATATATATATATATATATGAAATGAATAAATATATATAATATAAATATATATATTTATATATATATAAATATGTACATTATACACACACATTTATATATTTCCAAAATTACTTGTTAACATTTGCTGATGCTTTTTTTTTTGTTTTTTTTTTAAAATCTCACTGTCATTACTTTTTAGTCTATTGTAGAATAGTGAAGCTCAGGAAAATGAGCTTGTTTTCTTTTCTATAAGATGATTTAGGGTAAGACCCTGTGAGCATGGGTCTGTCCAGCCCCGAAAGTTCATGGATCTTTGGAGCTACTCAGGGGACACATGGCCTCTTTTCTGGCTTCTTCACTGGTTCTCGTTTCAGTTGTGTTTCAATGCCTGAGCCTGTGGGAAAGTGCCCTCCACATCTGTGACGCATCTCAGAGCCCCACACTGAGTGTTTAGCTCAGGGCCCAGGTGAAGCCAGCCTTACCTTTTTGTAGAGACTCCTCAGATCTCGGTACTGCCACATGCTGTTGAGGACCTGAGATGCGGCCTTGACCACTTTTGGAGAGTGTCTGATGAAGGAAAGACAGGAAAGGCGATACATGAGTGGGACAGCTGTGTCACAGTTCTGTAGTTCTTGTAATATTTCAAACGTCTTCATTATTATTCTATCTACGATAGTGATCTGTCATCAGTGCTCCTTGATGTTACTTCTCTAACTGTTTGGAAGCACCATGAACTGCTTCCGTGTAAGACAGCAACCGTAATCAATACATGTTGTGTGTTCTGACTGCTCCACTGACTGGTGATTCCTCCTCTCTCTCTCCTCAGGCCTCCCTCTTCTCTTCCGTGAGACAAAATAATGTTGAAATTAGGCCAACTAATAACCCTACAATGGCCCCCAAGTGTTCAAGTGAAAGAAGGGATTGCATGTCTCTTACTTTACATCAAAAGCTAGAAATGATTAAGCTTAGTGAGGAAGGCATGCCAGAAGCCAAGCAAGCCAAAAGCTCAGCCTGCTGTGCCAGTGAGTCAAGTTGTGAATGCAAAGGAAAAGTTCTTGAAGAAAATTAAAAGTGCTGCCCCAGTGAACACATGAATAATAAGAAAGCAAAACAGGCTTCTTGTTGATACAGAGAAAGTTTGAGTGGTTTGGATAAAAGATCAAACCAGCCACAACACTCCCTTCAGCTAAAACCTAATCCAGAGCAAGGCCCTAACTCTCTTAATTTTATGAAGGCTTGAAGAGGTAAAAACAACAACAACAACAACAACAAAAAACAAACAAACAAACAAAAAAAAACCACACACACAGGAGAAAAGTTTAAAGCTAGCAGAAGTTGGTTCACGACTTTTAAGGAAAGACAATATTTCTATAACATAAACTAAACAAGTTGTGTGATTTGCTTTATTGAGATATTAGCTTTGTTGCAGTAGTGTGGAAACAAACTGACAATATCTCTAAGGTATACCTGTAATTCCTTGGACTTAAAGACAGAGAATTTTAGATCTTTCCATGAATCCAGAGGAAGCTACGTTTCATTCTCATATAATCAATGCTGAACCAAGATTAAATGCGATATTTTGTTGTATTTTATCATTTAGCTAAATATTTGTTCATGACAATGGCCAAGCAACTCTAGAAAAATACACTTTAATATTCAGGTAGTGATAGTGTAGTTGAAACATAATTAGTATGCATAAATTCCTCTGATACAGTACAGTCTTCTGTTTCTATCTCTTGCGTAGTTATAAACCAGAAAGAGACTGTGAATGTGTAATGAACAGCCGGTTTTAACCTCTCGATTAAAATGCCAGTACATCACAGTGCTATACTAACATGTGAAGGTCAAAGAAACGTGGCTTTCTCTTTAGACTTTAATTTTGATGCATTCACTAGATGGGTACCATAGAAATTTCTACCTGAAAAACTCATTCTAAGTATTGACTGAAGGACTCAGACAATTGAGTGTTTCTAATGTGACAAGTGATTATAACCCAAGCAACAATACACAGTTCTTTACTGACAGTAACAGTTGAGTCTGTTAATAGCTTTTCCGTCTTATGACAAAATACAGTGACACATTCAACACAACTTCCTATATAACTGTTAAAATTGAGAAGAAAACAAACGTATTCTTGAGACAGATGAACATGATAGAATGTCCATAATGGATGTTTAAAATGATGTGAAAAGAATTAAGTTTCCAAGATTTCAAAAGGGCGAGTATAAGACTTCTGTAAGAGTTAATAACAACTACACAATTGGAGTCTGATCTTCATCAGAGCTGTCAAGTCAGGGGTGGTCAAGACGTCAGCTGGTACAGTTCATCGTGGCTGTCACCACAGCTGTGCCAGTGGCGGGGTCCCAGAACACCAGCTCCCTTGATTGTGTCTGCCAGACGCCATGAGTTGTGCACTTATGACAGACTGGGACTGGCAACTCTCCAGTCTGACTCATTAACATCACTGCATATTTAAGCTTGTATATATATACAGAAAGAAAATGTGTTAATATATAAAATGGAGACTCATAGCAAGGCACGTTTCTTCCATCTGTGTTTTCCCATACTATCACAAATAAAAATCAGGTTTAAACTGAACTTATTTCTGGGAATAAGTTTTTAAGGACAATTTAGGGTGGGCAGATTTGCAATCATTTTATAAATGAACTACTGTGTATTTGTTTTCCTGCTGTTCCCAATTATTAAATTAACCTTAATTCCAAAAATTTGATTTTCAATAAATTCTATTTCCTTAACATTTGTCTGGAAGTCCACGGGAATCTTCATGCCTACTATCATAATAGAATTGAGTCAGAAATGGTGAGTTTCATGCTCACCAGAAGATTTGGAGCAATTCTTCTGGATTCATTTCGTTTTAAGGAGCAGTGAAAAGCAATAATAAAATTGAAGTGTAGGTAGGAGATGAGGATAAATGTAGTTATAAAAACCTTGTTTTGATCCCCACATTAGTCAGTATATTAAAAAATGAGATACACTACATGAAACAGTGAATGAGACCAACTAATCGAGAGAATTGTAACCAGGAAGGTGCTTGATTCAATCCAATTTAACACTTCTTATTAAACTCATAAATCCAGGCTGCTGCCACTGGAAAAAGAGATAAAGGAACAACGAGATGAAATGAGTGCCTTTTCTATAGAAACATTTTCAGCCAAATTCAAGGGCATTTATGAGATCATCTGTAGTGAAAAAAATCTTCCCATTAACAATAATCAAGATTGGCCCTGGCTTATCAGGACCTTAGCAACATGGATATGTATTATTTCATAGATGGTTTCCTCAAGTGATTTTTAAATTAGTTTCACCAAATAATTTTCTTTGACCATAGGACTCAAAAAAACATTTTTTTCCCCTCTTTTAGGCCCATTTAGTAGTACTTATGGCTGTAGGGCTGCTCATATAGTGGGAGAGCATTAATACACGCCAAACCACTCCTCAAAGCTCTCTAACTGTATAATTCAGAGAAAATACTTTAATCTTTGACTCTCTCATGAATATAGACAAAAATATATCAGATTGTTTTGCGGACTGTCGTTTCATTGTGTGTGTGGGTGTGTATGCTCAAAAAAGCATTACCATATTAAACTCTTAATGCTCAAAACAGGTAAGCCCTTCAATTAGAGATTCCAAAGGGCTACTGAAGCTAAATAAAGAAGAAAACCACATTGTTTCCTGCCTACGTAGTATAGTACCATATTGTAAGTACAATAGCCTAAGACGTAATTCAAGCCAACAATCTATACTGCGCAATTATTACATGAATCCAGTGGGGCTTCTCTACTTGATATAAGGAAACATTCAAATCCAAATACAAAATAGTTGATTGAGCCTATCTGGAAGTCTCCAAGTGCTTAAAAAGAAATTCTGAATCTTCTATAATATGTTGGTAATATCCTGAATCAAGTGAAATAATGAGACAGAATTTCCAGAAAGTCTTAAAGTGCATCCCTCAAAGTTTTTAATAACAAAAGAAAAATTATTTAGCATTTAGATGTAAAAGGATGGGGGAGGGGTGGCTTGGCAGGGAATGAAAAGTCAAGAAATAGACTCTTGATAACAAAATGTTTACCCTTTTAATCTTATTTGATTACACGGAAGAACTTCCAAGAGGCAAAATTTAATTAAGGTTAGTGAAGGTTTCTGTAAAATTGACACCTTACTGATATAGTGATGTGCTGCCTTGTGAAGCTGTTTTCTGGCTGTATATAGAAAGCTATTGTTGGTTCTTAACAACTAGGGTGGGGGGGCATTCCTATTCAAGGAGGTGCAGTTGCTTTGACACCAAGTCTCATCTCTTTTTGTTCTACCTGCATGAAGGCCCTCCTTTCTTACCACTATCCCGTTTGCCTGGGAAATTTCTACTCATTCTTTAAGATTTGACCAGCTAGCATATTGTGATAGCCTCTCCGTTGGGTTTAGATCGGAAAGTATAGGCACAGTGACTTGATAAATTAAATATCTGCCCCACATCTCAGAGCTTGTAAGGAAGGGTACTAGATTAGAACTGAGTTCTCTGACTCCATCACACCTTGTCTCCTCCCTCATCCTTCCTGCGTGTGACTTGCTATGACTTGGTGGCTGCTGTGATGTTGGTAAAGTGGACCTGACCCGGTTGCAGAGCTAAAGAGGCAAAGAGCAGAAGGATGCAGAGAAATCATCAACACGTGGACTTCCTACCACAGAGGAACAGCAACGACAAAACACTTCCACGTGTCTGGGTTGAACTCATGTCTCTTCCAGGTGGAAGGAGCACCTGGGTGTGCTGGTTTGTCAAGTCCACTTTACCAACAGTAAGAGAGAAGACTGGGGATTGCTGGGTCAAATGGTAGAACACATGGACACAGGGAGGGGAATATCACACACCCGGGCATGTCAGGGGATGGGGGGCTTGGGGAGGGATAGAGGTGGGGGGGATTGGGGAGGGCTAACATTAGGAGAAATACCTAATGTAGATGATGGGGGGATGGTTGCAGCAAACCACCATGGCACGAGTATACCTATGTGACAAACCTACATGATCTGCAAATGTACCCCAGAACTTAAAGTATTACAAAATCTTCAAAATAAAAATAAAGAGAGAGAGAAGACCGGAAACCATTTGCCATTTTCCTTCTCTTGATTCTCAGAGACAAATGCCTTTGGTGACAATCATATTTGAAAGGCACATTCAGAACCAATTTTACCAGGACAGAGATATGACGTCACCAGGTAACTTACTTATCTCCCTTGCTTTTGGAGATGCCGACCAACTTCTCGATGCCACCGGCATCCCGTAAGGCCTTGGCGTTCTCCATGTTCTTGGTAATCACTTCGTGCAGGGTGCAGCAGACGGCTGTCACTGTGTCATCCGACATGGCCTTGCTTGCTGTGCTGCTGCTGTTGTTCCCACCTGGAAGTCTGTGGACTAGGTCTCGCATGGCATATTTGCCTGGAAAAGAAAATAAAGAGAAGACTTGAAAGGAGGTCAAGGTGAAGGCAGAAGGTAGTGGCAGAGGTGGGTACGGAGGAGAAGAGAATACAAGAGGCCCTGTTTATGCAACAGTGTTTGCTTCCCATCATTGAACGTTCTCTGTTGGGTAACTTTGGACACAGCTATAGAGAAAAAGCAGTCATTCCTCATGGCAGTGCGTGCACTCTGCTGCTAGAGTGACCTGGGATCAAAGCACGTTATTTCATGGGCAAGTTATTTCATGCCTCTTAAGCCTCAGTGTTTTCAGGCTCTAAAGCAAGACAATAATGGTACCTACTATACAAGGTTGCTGTAAAGCATAAATGAGTGAATATATAGAAAGTATTTAACACATGGGGATGAACAAGGACACAGGACTCAATAGGTGTTAGGTGTGATTATGTTCTTGCTTGATGTTTATAGAAGTCAAGAAAAATGTATGGAAATTCTAACATAACCCTCAAAAATACCTTAATGAAAGCTATGTCAAGACCTGTATTTTTTAACAACAGTCAAAGCACTAATGTGTGGGGAACATAATCACATATATGAGTCCTGAGTTTTGATTCCTTTAAAGCAAAGAGAAACATGGAAAGCAGGAGAGAGGTGCTTGACACTCTGTAACTATGTGTCCTTTGAACTACAGTAACCTGATGCTGTTTGTCTCTCTGATAGTATTTTATTGTGTAGTTCTACCACATAACACTTACTAATTTGGTGTGTTTTTGTGCAAAAAATATAATAAAATCCAATTCTGCTTCCTTAATTCACTTTAGCATTGTTAATCTGACTATTCCCAATGATAAAGGTACTTATAATGACATTATTTATGGAGTACTTTTAGTTTACAAAGCACTTTAGGCATTACCAGTGACACTGCAAGACAATTAATTTATCCCACCTGCAGCTTCCATTTCTGCTCCTTTAATTTACTTCTGGAAGTAAGTAAATGAGTGCCTGCAGCAAAGCTGGCTGTTCTCATATTTTTCAGATGGAATTGGCAAGTGCCTCAAGTTAGATCCCCTGCTTGTCTCCCATCACCCAATGAGGCATATTTAGCTAGCTCCTAAAAGCCATATGAAATATTTCACCTCCTTCTAGATCTATAAATAATATCTTCTTCTGCTATTGAGTTCTCAGGTGCGTGGTGCCTGGCAGCAGGAAGGGAACCTTGTGGGAGCAGACGGTGATATCTTCATTCCAGGCAGTGATACATAAAACACAGGCCCTTATAATTTTGGTATCTGCTCTTATCCTATGTTTAGGTGGCTTATTTTAGCTTAGAGAGAAAATGCTGATGCTTAAATTACCGAAATAGAAAAGTGTGTTCATTCACTTGATAATAGCTGAGGAAGTGTCTGACAAAAATGGTTTGCCTGCAAACCTCCAAAATGGAGCATATTTATTTTCTAATGACAGCACCTAAAATAGTTTATCTATTTATCATTAAATCAGGATTAACTCTGGGTAAGAGTTTACTTTTGTAGAGCTCAGCATGCTGGAGATGCTATCAGTTCATTAACCCCCACAAATCATTAGCAGACAAAATTGAGCTCCATAGAGATGAGATGACCCATGTGTTCCTTTTTCCTTTTCCTTATGAGGAAAGCGATGAAGGAAGGGCAAAATAACCGAAAAAAATATTTCAGTCATTGAATATACAGGGGCATTTACACCCTTGACGGTATGTGGAGAATGGTTTGGTGACCTTTGACGCTGTCAAAGGGAAAATGCAAAATGAAGAGAGGGTGAGAATTTAGCTGTCGTATGTTTTAGTTTTCTTGGTATAATCATTTTGAAAATTACGCCATCTAAATATGAAGATGTAGTTTCATTCTCCATGGCTTCCCAATCCTTGAGGCAGGTGTCCCTGGCATGTTAGCTTATTTATAGATAATAAGTAGATGGCAGGTACCCAACCCCTGCAGAGCAGCCTCTTCCACTCACCCCGGTGTGCCATACAAGTACTATCATTTTCCATGTGCCTCATGATACGGAAAAGATCAGGAGTCACTGTCATATTTAACCTCTAACAACTTCACTGTTGAGGAAACTCATTGGAATTATTTTATTTCTAATATTTCCAATATAGTTCACTGACATTTTACTAGGCAAATGGAGATTTTTCGTTGTCTATCAGTCTATCTGGAGGGATATATTTTAGTCTATAGTTTTGACCATCCGAGTAAAGAAACAAATCTGGTAATATTATTCTGTGGAGAAAAAAACCTCTGGGCAAAGTTTGTTAATGATTTTAAAAGGTTACAATTCTTTTTTAGCCTTTAATTTTGTGTTGAACATGCGGTCTTTTTACAGAGAAATTTAAATCCTATCTTCACAGAAAATTTGGGTAGCAAGAAAAGATTTTTAGCTCTTTCTAATGTCAGAAATTTTGAAGCTGATTATGGAAATAACAAAATAAGGGATACAGAATAATTACAGATGCAAGTGACCTTGTCTTGTGTGTTTATAACAGTAGTTCATGGAAGAGACAAATTAGACAGGACTGGAGTTGTTATGGAAGGCTTGATTCAGGAGGTGGACATTTAGGATTTTTTGTATGTTAAAGGGGCAACAAGACCAACTTGATACTTTACAAAGAGAATTCTGCATTAAGAAGGAAGGTTTCATAATAATAAAACTGAAGGTGGAAGAAACATATAGCCTTTTTCTTGACAATAAAGTTCTCTTCCTCGAGACTTCTAGTGAAATTTTGAGCACTACGACTCAAGATAGTGTGTTACTATAACTGTTCCATATCCTGTATTTTCTTTTTAACCTAAGTTTCTAAACAGTTCAAAGAGCTGAAAAGCTATTCTTGCTACCCAGTAGGAGGAATCTTGACTCTTCTCCTCTACTGTTCAGTTAGACTCTTGGGGCTTTGAGGTCTGAGATTTCTTCAGAGGGTAAAAGAAGTTAATTCCCTTTTTCGTATCACAATGGCAACAGGAAACTGCAAAGTGGGTGGTTTAAACTTTTATTTTTGTAGCTTAACACCATCAAGGTGATCAAATTGTTTGCTTTTCTTCTTAGAGAGAGAAATGGATGGAGATGGGGTTGTTTTAGGACTGGGGAAGAAAGAATGTCCCTGTATATACAATGACTGAAGAGGTGGGGTTCTTTTAGGACTGGGGAAGAAAGAGGCTGGTTCACCAGGTGGAGGTTTTTGGAGGGTCTTCACAGTCCCAGGAACATAAAGGGTACTTGGAGCCCAGCAGGGGCCCTGTGATGCATTAGGATTCTCTGTGGGTGCAGAGGAGAATAAAACAGCATAGGCTTCACCCTGTGCTTGAACCTGGCATGGGAGAGAGGAGGTACCTGTCTTGGAATGATCTGCTTAGGCCCTCAAAAGGGGCAGACACCACTAGTAACCACTGAAGATAGATGACCACTCCACCTGACTGCATCACCTTCTTTTTTTTTTTTTTTTTAAGACAGAGTCTCACTCTGTTGCCCAGACTGGAGTGCTGTAGCATGATCTCAGCTCACTGCAATCTCCGCCTCCAGGATTTAAGTGATTCTCCTGCCTCAGCCTCCCTAGTAGGTAGGACTACAGGCATACACCACCACACCTGGCTAACTTTTGAATTTTAGTAGAGATGGGGTTTCATCATATTGGCCAGGCTGGTCCCAAACTCCTGCCACAAGTGATCTTCCTGCCTCGGCCTTCCAAAGTGCTGAGATTACAGGCGTAAGCCACCACGCATAGCTGACTCCACCTTCTTCTAGATTTAATTTGGTTAAAAAATAAGGAAAAGTTATAACACAGACTGAAAATAATAGAGCGAGTCATTCATTTGGCAGGAAGCTATAATGTTTCAGGAACAAACAAGGACCGGTGACTACAGAAAGGAGGTCATGGGAGGATCAAGGGCGGGACAGCAGCCATGATGGAAATTCTTAAGAAGCAACGGACAGGGCTTGGAGCCCAGGGAAATGTGGAGGTAATGGAGGAACATGATTCAGAGGTTTCACGCTGGAATAACACAGAGAGTAGTAAAAACCAAATGAATCTTAAAGCTTAATATTAATGAATAAGTTGAGCATTATTTTCCACACAAAGAAAAACATGCAAAATAAGTTATATTGCTTACATGGGAGAATCACATACCGAAATCCCATTAGAGAGACAAGTAGGTAATCAGGTTCAAAGAATACCTAGATTTATGAAGGCAAAATGGATATCCTGCCTTGCTTCTATTTGAATACTTGTGCTACCAACGATCCACCATCGTGGAATGACATCTGAAAAAGGGAAATCATGGCGCTCGCTTCGGCAGCACATATACTAAAATTGGAATGATACAGTGAAAGATTAGCATGACCCCTGTGCAAAGGTAAACCATACATTTGTGACACGTTCCATATTTTATTTTGTTTTTTAAAAAACAGCTTGTTGCCCAGATCAAAACAATACAAAACAAGACTCTACCACTGCCACTGCCACAAACAGTCACTCTTTCTTGCTAAAGTTCCCAACAGAAATGAATCCTTGGGCCATTTCTTTTAAGTTACTTAGTCTCTATAACATCTCTGACTTTTGCAATACTGAGAAGAGACAGCCATCGGTGATAATATAATAGTGTGGAAAAAAGACTATTTTCATCATTGATGGACTAACTGCAACCTTGTAGCTCTGCTATCCTTTCCACTGTGTGCGTGTGTGTGTTTCCTTCAAATACCTGTATTTCGTATTTGGTGAACCAGTTTTCTAAGTACATATTTTCCTGAAAAACTGCAAGTAAAAAATATTTTCTCTTTGCAATGCTTCATTCTGAAAGTCTTCTGTTAAGCACTGTTGGGTACACCAAGGTAGCCCCATGGACCCACTCAGGAGACCTAACAAACCATGTTGCCCAAGAAAGGCACTCCTTGCAGAACGCTTGTGCAGAAAGGAGCTGGTGGTGATTTCATGGTGAGGTAAGAGCCTTGCTCTCGTTGACTGCTGCTGTGTCGTGTTTGTGACTTCCTATTTCTATTTCTGAACTAAGCCTGTTTTGGTTATTGATGTGCATACTACCACTTGGTTTTCCCATTGGTGGCAGGAAGGTTGAGTGGTGGTCTCATGGTCTAAACACCTGCATTCTCTAAGGCAGCAGACAACTTGAGTCCCTTCCTACACTGATTATAGATTTCTTCTGATCACTGATACAGTCCTGTGTGTAGGTGGTCTTTGTTGTGCACCATTATAAACTCAAATGTCTTAAACTGATTAGGGAAAAAATATTTTTTCCAGAAGGTCAGCTGGACTAGAGAGCAACTCTAGATGAGAAACACCACAACTCCTTTGTCTTCGAGGTCTCAGTAGTTCTATGACCCTCCTGCTTCCTGAGCTGCTAAAACTGATCTATGAGTTTTTGCTGTGGTGCTCTGAGTTTATTTTTTTCTAGAAAACTTTTTTATTGCAGCAAAATACATTAAAAATTAGCATTTTAAGTATATAGTTTGTTGATATTATGTAGAATCATATCATTCTACAATCATACATCTCCAGAACTCTTTTCACCTTGCAAAATTGAAACTTTAAAAACATTTAAACAACTCCCCAACCCCTCCCTTCACTCCCCAGAAACCCCCATTCTACTTTCTGTCTCTATGAGTTTGACAACCCTAGGTACCTCATGTAAATGGCATCAAAAAAGATTTGTTTTTGTGACTGAATTACTTCACCTAGCATAATGCCCTCAATGTTCATCCATGTCATAGTGTATGTCAGAATGTACATTCCATTTTTTCCAGACAGTCTCACTCTGTGATCCAGGGTGGAGTGCAGTGGTGCAATTTCAGCTGACTGTAATCTCGGCCTCCTGGATTCAAGCAATTTTCGTGCCTCAGCCTCCTGAGTAGCTGAGATTACAGGTATGTGCTACCACACCCAGCCATTTTTTTTTTGTATTTTTAGTAGAGACAAGGTTTCACTATGTTCACCAGGCTTGTCTTGAACTGGCCTCAAGTGACCTGCCCACCTCAGCCTCCCGAAGTGCTGGCATTACAGGTGTGAGCCACTGCACTTGGCCAGAACTTTTTTCAAGACTGAATAATTTTCCATTGTGTGTATATACCATATTTTGCTATTCTTCTGTTGATGAAATATTGGGTTGATACTTCATTTTCACTGTTGTGAATAATGGTGTGAACAGGGATGTATAAATATCCTTTTACTTTGAATCTATTTCTGTCTTTGAATATGAAGTAAGTTTTTCGTAGGCAACATATAATTGGATAATTTTTTTTAATGCCCTCTGCCTTTAATTGGAGAGTTTATCCATGTATATTTAAAGCAACTACTAATAAAGAGGATCTTGTTTCTAGCATTTTACTTTGTTTTCCATATGCCTTAAAGCTTATTTTTGCCCCTAATTTCCTGCATTACTATCTCCTTTGTGTTGATTTTTTTTGTAGTCAAATGTTTTAATTTTGTTCTCATTTTCTTATGTGTATATAGTTTAATGGTTTTTTTTATAGTTACCACAGGGATTACATTTAACATTATATCATTATAATTTTGAATTTATACCAGGTTAACTTCAATAACATACAAACACTTTGTTCATTTACAGTTTCATCCCACACTTTTCAGTTATTGATGTCACAAAATTACATCTTTGAACATTGTGTGTACAAAAATATAAATAATTGGTTTATAAAAAATGAATTAGTCTCTTAAATTATGTAAACAACAAAATGTGGAATTATAAGACAAAGTTACAATAATGTTAGCTTGTAGGTTAGTAATTGTTTTTTCTTAAATGTACTGAATCATGTAGAAAACAAAGTAGCATTATAAACCATTGTTAAAACAATATGAGCTTTATAATTGCCTGTGTATTTATCTTTACTAAGATATTTATTTCTTCTTATCCCTTTGAATTACTGCTTAGTGTTCTTTCATTTCAACATGGAGGACTCCCTTTAGGATTTCTTACAGAGCAGGTCTAGCAGTAATGAACTCTCTTAGTTTCTGTTTATCTGGAAATGTCTTAATTTTTCCCTCACTTTTGCTGGACAAGATGACTGGCTGACGGTTTTTTTTTCTTTCAGCACCATAACTATATCAACCTACTGCCTTCTGGCCTTCAAAATTTTGATTAAAAAATCAGCTGATAATCCTACTTTGAATTGCTTGTGTGTCATGAATAATCTCTAGATTTGCAAGATTCTTTATCTTTGGCTTTCAGCAATTTGATTGTAATGTGTTTCAGACTGGGTATCTTTGAGCTTATCCTATTTGAATCTCACTGAATTCTTAGTATTTATATTTATGCCTTTCATTAAATTTGGTAAGTTTTTAGCCATTATTTCCTCTAATAATCTCTGTGCCCCTTTCTCACATTTTTTTCTCCCGAGTCTTTCATAATGTGTATGTTTATCCTCTTGATGATGTCCACAGAACCCTTAAGCTCTGCTCCTATTCTTCGATCTTTTCTTTCTGTTCTCCAAAGTCAATAATTTCAATTGTTGTATCTTCAAGTTTGCTGATTCTTTCTTCTGCCTGCTCAAATCTGCTTTTGCATTTCTTTAGTGAATTTTTCATTTCAATTACTGTACTTTTCAGCTCTAAATTTTTTAAGTTTTCTATGCCTTTATTGTCTCCATTTTGTTCATGCATCATGTTCTTGTCTTTTTCCATATCTTCCTTTAATTCTTTTAACATCTTTAAAACAGTTGCTTTGAAGTCTTTGTCTAGTAGGTCTGCCTTTGTGCCACTTTCCAGCTACGGTTTATGTTTTTGGGTCTCTCTCTGCTTTGAACTGGTCATACTTCCCTGTTTCATTGTATGCCTTGTGGTTTTTGTTGTTGAAACTGAAAATTTGAATGTAATAATGGGTTATCTGGAAACCAGACTCTTCTTCTTTTTCAGGGTTTGTTATTTTTTTGCTTTTGTTTTGTTTTGACTGTTTTAGGCTATCTCTGTGCTAAGAATTAGCCTTAAGATCTTCACTGATGTTTTCTGAGGATAATTGTTTTCTTGGGCATGCGCAATGGCTCTCTTTTCTCTTTTATATGCAGTTGCTTTTGAATATGCTAGTCTTTAATGACTGGCTCTCAAAGAGGGAAAAGAAAAAAATAAAATGGATGAGGAGGGTGAGGGTGTCAGCTCTTTAAATTCTCTGAAAATAACTTCAGCCAAAGATAGAGGGGCTTGCAATCATGGTATGTGTGTGTGCAACAATGGCTGCTTGCCTCTGTGTTTGTATCTCTGTAGTCAGAAGCAGCAATCAGCAGAAAGAACAGATTCCCAATATTTAGAGGACAGGGTCTCTTGTGCCAACCCTAGCTTCTGACAGCTCTAAGTAAGCTGCTCTAGGAACATATGCACAGCTACATGCCACAGGGCCGAGGGGTGGGGGATGGGTAGCTACTGTTGAGCTAAGCTGAGATTAAACAAATAAACTGTACTTTACCATCCAAGCCTTCTGAAATTTTAAGCCTTCAATAGATTCCAGAGTTTCAAAATAGTTACATCAGTGTGATGGTTAATATTAGGTGTCAGTTTGATTGGATTGAAGGATGCCTAGGCAGCTGCTAAAGTACTGTTTCTGGGTGTGTCTGTGAGGGTGTTGGTAGAGGAGATTAATGTTTAAACCAGTGGACTGGGAGAGGCAGACCCACCCTCAATGTGGGTGGACACCATCCAACTGGCTGCCAGCATGGCTAGAGCAAAAGCAGGTGGAAAAACGTATGATAAGATTCCGTGCTGAGTCTTCTGGCTTTCATCTTTCTCCCATGCTGGATGCTTCCTGCCCTTGAACATCAGATGCCAGGTTCTTTGGCTTCTAGAGTCTTGGACTTACATCAGTGGTTTGTCAGGGGCTCTTGGGCCTTCAGCCACAGACTGTAGGCTACAATGTTGTTTTCCCTACTTTTGAGGGTTTTGGAGTAAGACTGAACCACTATTGGCTTATGTCTTCATCAGCTTGCAGATTGCCTATCATCAGGCTTCACCTTGTGATCCCATGAGCCAATTCTCCTTAATAAACTCCTTTCACATATACATATATCCTATTAGTTCTGTCCCTCTAGAGAACCTTGACTGACAGATTCTGTCAATGTGATTGTGTCTAGGTGGAGAGGCAGATTCCTGGTGCTTCCTACTTCTCTAGAATCCTCTCCCCTCCCTGAATTTACTTTTCATCAAGGGTTGATGATATAAAGGTGAGGAGCTGATTTCTGTGTGATTGGATCTCTGTAGGTTAGTGTGAAAAGAGTTTTTTTTCCCTTTTAAATATAAAGGGTTGTTTGATGTTTACAATGCTGGAATGTTTTGTCTCTCCTTTCTCTTTTGGGAAATAGCTGGAGCTTAATTTATAGAAATTTGTCATTTGTACACTATAAATATGTCTAATTTAAACACAGTCTATCATCAAAGGG